CGGCGGCGGCGGCGGCGGCGGCGGCGGCGGCGGCGGCGGCGGCGGCGGCGGCGGCGGCGGCACTGATTCCGTCCTCCGAGTGCGCACGCTAACCGTATCGGATAGCAAACGTCCGACTGACTGACTGACTGACCGCGAGTCGTCTGGTGAACTCTGGTGGGAGGAGGAGGAGGAGGTCCTCCCGCGCGAGCGCGAACGCGGCCGCGTCGCTGACTGGTGTCCTCCTCGATCGCGATCGCGATTGCGATCACGGAAACCGCGTTGATGTACGCGCGACCGAGTTTCGTCCGCGATACCTCGAATTCCGACGCTCGCGCCACGCCTAATATGCATGCACCATGCATATATAAATTTATATATGTATGTATATACATATATGTATATCATGCATATGTAAATATGTATGGGTACGTATATATTTTTATACGTATTTATTTATTTGTACACGTGCGCGAAACGCGCTTTTCTCTCTACTTTTGTACGATCCCTCCCCACGACGACGGAGATAGACGGCGACCCAACACGACGCCTCTTGCCAACGGAAGCGTCGCTCTGTCTGGCGTCGCGCTCGCTTCTCTTATAATAGTCCTCAGCCACGTGCTATACCGCGTTCCCGAACGACCGATTCCCTTGCGACCGAGGGAAATGAGGAGAGTGTGAAGATGCACGATTATCAAAACGATTATCAGAGCGACGCGGACACTCCGTTATGGCCGGCGAGCCGCGCATTATCTCCTCACCGGAATGGATATGTTAATGACGGCGTTTCTCAGTCAGGTTGTCCGACAGATCAATCGCGCCCGGCTCTCGTGATCTAGCGCTTCCGGAAGACTCGCAATGACAACTGACCGTAAGCCGGTCGGAACTCTGGCTTTTATGGGGATAGAGGCGGGCTGCTACGCTGCTGGACCCGACTGCTCGTCGCGTCGAATCGCACCGCGCCGCTCCCCGCTGCGCCACGGCGCGCCGGGCCACCGAGCAGGGGTTAATCGAAGAGAACTTGTGTCGTCCGGTGTGTTACCTCGATTGCGGTGGGTGTAGCGGCCGTAGCAAATCGCTGCTGCGCTGTCCGGTGTGTCCGAAAGGTGTGCGAGACGACGCCACACGTGTGGGTGCGTCATCCTTACCATCACCTCGTCGCCGAACCATGTCATGCCAAGCCGTGACGGCCGACCCAAGTCACGATAGATACCACCACCACCACCACCACCACTTCTATCACCACCACCACCACCACCACCACTACCATTATCACCACCATTACCACTATCACCACCACCACCATCATCACCACCACCACCATCATCACCACCACCACAACCACCACCACCACCACCACCGCCCCACTACCACCACCCCACCACCACCATCATCATCACACTATCGCAAAAGTCGTCATCCGTTGCCGCACCGCTATTGCATTGCTATTCATTGCACGAGGGCAGACGACCAGATATCATGACGTATGGTTGTGGTCGATTGTCGAATATTGCCGAATTACGACGCGTACGCGCTCGTCTGCAGAAGGATTTGATTCCTTTGTCGATGTGCGTTTCGAGATACATCCAGCATCCAATAAGAACTGTCTTCTGAGAATTACTTGAAAGCAAATTCTTCTATTGGACGTCGGCTTTTCGTTTCAAAGTGTGTTGGAAAGCGTTCCTAAATTTCAAGATGTACTTCACATTTTGTGAGTAGGCTTTTTTGAAAGACACAATTGTCTCAGAAGTATCTTCTGCGACTAAAAAATTAACTTTCATATTTTCTTTTTCATTTAGAATTACTTATATTCAGGGAAAAAGAATTAGCAATGACAATTATATAGGTGACAGCTATATGATTTTTGCATTGCGAAAAAACAATTCTGTTGGTATAACTGAATTTTTCGTTATTTGGTAAGAATAAGGGATCAGAAAACTCGATTGTAAAGTTAGAAAGCTTCCTGTAGGAGATTTCAGTTGTTATTGCAAGCAGATCTTAATACAGCTGAATGTTCAGGTAAATGTTTCCGTTACGTTGAAAGAGATATCGTTTCTCCGTCTAGTCTCTATTCAGTTGCACGAACTGAGACTTTTTTCCATGTGTGTACACACATATTTAGAATTGCATAATAGATTGTTAAAATATATACCTTACAATTCTACATATACGAAGCTCGTATAGTTATTATCTACACAGTTATCGTCATGTTTGTCTCTGAGTGCAGCAAACATCATATTAGCTAATCATATTAGCTGATGATGCCAAATAAAGTATTAATGAGCTATTAATGACATCGTTTTAATATCGTATTATATTTACTAGATAGTTGGCCAATGACGAACACTGTGTACGAACGTGTTTTTTGATTATTTAAAAGTTTGGCTATACAACTTTTTATCCTCTCTTGCCAAGAAATTGAGTAATCGCCAGACAACAATCGAATGGCTCAGAGAAGTTCGACCAATCCTTACTGAATTTCCTCGAAATGCCTCTTAATTCAGACGACATTCTCAACATTATTGATCATTATTCTTTGAACGCAACACTCGAACGCGGCGATAAATATCGATAACGACGTATCGATAGTTGTGCTCTGAATGAAAATGCATGTTGCATATGCATCGGTTTCTATCGGATTCGTTGGTTCACGACGTGATCGTGATCAATTCGTCGATTTAGGCCAAGTTTCAATAAAGCTTTTCATCGAGCCGAAACTGCTAATTTTGGATCGTCTGTATCGTGCATGAATCTGCTCCTACATTATGACAGTTGATTGCTTGCTCTGATATTTTTCACATAGTTTGACATCACATCGCATGATATCATGTCCAGATACAGGATACGAACGATTAGAGACCACTAGTGTATTCCGGCCTGGTAGATGTTGAGACTTTATTGAAGCTTGGTTTGCGTCAATCGCATACCTATAAAGTTCGCGGTTATACCGAACGTTGACGTAATAAAAGCACGCACTATGCATATATTCATTTCGCGATGCGTCAATACAATCGTTGAGTAACGAACGGTAGCGTTCAGTGTAGCAATTAGCTCGATATCTCGCACCCCAACGTTCCTCCGGCGTATCCGTTGTGCGTTCGTTAGATTTTATAAAATACGCGGATTAGGCGCGAAAGGAGGATATAAACATACACACACGCACAAATAGCCAATCGCATGTGTATCCGAGGCCTCAAGGCGAGAAAAGAAAAATGACAAAGAGAGACTGAGGCAACGTCGCCGTGGCGTTTGAAGACGAGAGAGAACGATGCTTTCGCAGATCCCATGTGAGATACCTGCAGCATTCTTCGTTCTGCAACGGGGCATTAAGCCGGATGCACATTCGTCGTGGACGACGTTCGCTGTATTCGTTTCCAAGAAAAATATCTTCCGCCTCGAAATGAATTTTACGGCAGATCTTGCCCGCGATCACAAGAGCCCGCTCGATTCTCGACGGCCCTCTTTATGAATGGCTCTCTCTCTCCCCCTCTCTATTTCTCTCTCTCTCTCTCTCTCTCTCTCTCTCTCTCTCTCTCTCTCTCTGCCTCTCCATTTTCATTTTATTGCTCAGACGAATTATTATTATCTTCGTTAACTAATAGGCTTATCTTATTCGCGCACGTCTCCGTTTTCGGAGAGGTAAGCCAACGAAAAAGAGAATCGTTCAAGTTCCTCAAACGCACGCCCGATGACAATTTCTCTCGTGATAAAGGAATCACATGCACCCTCCCGGCGCGTGATGTGCCGCGGCGCCGCTT